TGTGGGCACTCAGGGCACTCCAAGCCAGGACTGCTTTGCAAGCGGGGCACCCCTGAGAACTGTCTGTCCGGGGTGGGGGTCGGGACCCTTTAAGCACAGCCCTCGGCTAGTCTGAGACAGCATCTCCACGCTCTAAGTCCTCCTCTGATGCCCTGCCGGCACTGCTTCCGGCCAGCCTTAAGCCCGGTTCAGGGTCCACTTAATGTGGACGCGCTAGTTCGAATTAACAAAACGCTAATTCGAACTAGTTTTTAGTTCTAGACGCGTTAGTTCGAATTAGCTTAGTTCAAATTAACTAATTCGAACTAAGTTAGTTCGAATTAGCGCTGTAGTGTAGACGTACCCTAAGAGAGTAGGACTACGTCTACACTGCCAGGTTTTTGCCCAAAAACCTGTGGAGTGTCCACACCTCAAATGCACTTTTCTGCAAGGAAATCCAGAGTAAAACGGCAGAAGGGGGGGGCTTTTCCCGCCATAGGCAAACCTCCTTCTATGAGGCATAACCCCCTTTTGCACAAGAGTTCTTGCACAAGAAGGCAAGTGTGGATGCTCCAGAGGGGTTTCTTGCGCAAGAAACCCCTTTGGAAAAAAGCACAGGTGCTCTGATGGCTTTTCGGTGAACAGCCAGCGGAGCTTTCTTGTGCAAGAGCATCCATGTCGTGTGGACACTCTCTTGCACAAAAGTGCATCGCTTTTGCCACGTGCTTTGAGGTGGGACGCGCTGTTGCGCACGACGTTTTGGCGCAAAATCGCTTGCGCAAAAGGCTTCTTGCGCAAGAAGCATGTCGCACAGACGTAGCCTGGCAGATTTATCAGGGCATAAGCTTTTGTGGGTAAAACCCACTTCATCAGATGAAGAGGAGTGGAAATTACAAGGGCAGGAGTGAGTATATATAAATATATATCTTGAAAATACAACAAACAAAATACTTAGATGGTGTCATGAGCTTTTGTGCACACAGCTCACTTCTGCAGATGGCCAGAGTATTACAAGTCCAGTTCCAAAATAAATATGGGATGGGGGAGGGGGAGGAAGAAGGAAGGGAAAAGTAGTGAATGGGAGTGTTCATGTTACATGAAGCTGATAGAGAAGGTGCAAGTGGTTCCCAAGTGCCCATTAGTTGGTTGGTTAAGTCATTAGGATGAGGAAGGTCGGGTGCTAGCCAGGTCGTGTTTTTATTTGTACCTTTGTGATGGGTCCCAAATGTACAAGCCAAATACACAGGGAAGTGCTGGAACTTAACTTCATTTTCAAGTTTGGACCCATCACAGGCCCAGGAGTGGTCGCTCCGACGCCCCCTGCCCTGCTGCCAGCTCTAGGTTCTCCGCAGGCAACTGCTGTCTTGCTCCCTCCAGCCTGGGGCTCTCTCTCGCCTACCCAGCGCCACTTAGGGGTCCTGCAGGCCGTGCCCGGCGGCCAGACGTAGGGCATGGAAGTGTGACCTAGTGGCTACTGCGCTCGGAAGCTTGGCTTCTATTCCTGGCCCTGCCAAGACCAGGCAAGTGGCAGCACCGCTCCGTGCCTCAGTTTCCCCACCCGTAAAACGGGGAGAATAATACCGACTTCGAGCACGTTGAGCGCTGCTGCTGGAGGGTGCTGCGGAAGGCCTAGCGAGCGCCTACCGGAGATGCAGACGTATAGAGGAAAGCTATTTGCAGAGATGATTTTAACCCATTAGGAAAGCAAGCGTGCTTGTCCTGTCTCTTTCAAACCTTTCGGCTGACTCCAGAGCTGGGGCCAGGATCCCAGCCCATGCGGTGGTGCACGCGCATAATGGGGAGGAGCCCCACTGGGAGGCGGTAGAGGAGGAACAACGGGGTGTCCCGGAATGAGTCCCCCTCCCCCGCTGGCCCGTCAGCTGACCGAGCGAGACGAAGGGTTGGGTACCTTTCTTGTCCTGTCTCTTTCAAACCTTTCGGCTGACTCCAGAGCTGGGGCCAGGATCCCAGCCCATGCGGTGGTGCACGCGCATAATGGGGAGGAGCCCCACTGGGAGGCGGTAGAGGAGGAACAACGGGGTGTCCCGGAATGAGTCCCCCTCCCCCGCTGGCCCGTCAGCTGACCGAGCGAGACGAAGGGTTGGGTACCTTTTCTGTGGTTGGCAACAGCCAGGAAAGCCTCGCCCTCCAACCGGGGCGATCCGCTGGTACGGGAGGAACGTCTCCGTCCGGCGGCTCCACTTGTAAATGATGGAGAACTCCTGGCCCCGGTCGTTCTGCTCAAAATTAGCCACTGCGAGGAAGATCTGAAAAATCCCAGTTGCGTTTCTGCCCCTCCAGGGAAGGGCCCTGCACGGGGAGGGGGGGAAGGGGCATGTTTTGGGGGTGAGCACTGCCCAGGGGGGTCACGGCAGGCTAAACTGCACCCCCTGCTGGCCACGTCAGGCAGCTCTCTCCTTCCCGCC